TGTATGCTGTGTCATTTTTCAATGCGATCACTGATCTTTCAAACAAGCACAGCGATCACTGATCTTTCAAACAAGCACAGATTTGATTTTGTGGTCGCAAGTGCATCGAGAGTTCATAGATTTCAATATACCGCCAATTTTCTGTGAACATTTAGCATTTGTTAATATCTGGTCTCGCTTTGAATGCGAATACTGAACTTTGTGCATGATCAAATTTCTATAACTATTACCGCATTTCGAAGTTTTTTTTGCTTCACTGTGCTCAAGTTGACAACAAAGATCATGCAAAAACAATCTTTCTAGGATAAGAAATCATCAATCTCTTCCTCCCAAATCAATGAATTTTATGGCCCATCCTAAAGCATTGCTCGTTCGCAATGAATCAAAATATGTCGGTCACTGACAAAATTATTCTTCTGGGAGGACCTAGTCTCGAATCTGCTTAGTACACAATGTAAAGCACTAGTTTTTTTTTCAGTTGTGCTCCAAATGCCTCAGTTCCATTCTTTGTAGAAAAAGTTTAGCACATAACTGTAAATGACAAGAAAACTTCTGAAATGACTTATAGTACTCCAGAAGTATGCATTACAGTGTTACATAAGTGTTCCACCAAAGTGGCTCCATACCCCAACAAATCAAGTTTTGCACCGTAAATAGGCACCAAAGTACCATTAGAGCAAAATAAGTTCAACAAGAAATTGTGCAAATATCTGCATCAACTTTATCCACCCGAAGTTTGGAGCCAAAAGCTGAAGAAATATTCAAAAATTGAGAGCAAATCACAACTCCGTATCCTGCCAATTCCTTAATATATAAAACGTTGATATAGAATGTGCATGCTTGAAAACGAACAGGACACGTGTAATGAACTGCTTAGTTAGTTATTAGGCTGGTGCAAAGTAATGCGCATTTTGCTAGTTCTCATTTTGATGTGCTATAACACTAAAGTTTTCATATTCTTCGATGGGATAAGGACCATCAGAAGCCGCAAACCTTTTGCAACACAGCGCACACTAACCTATACTCATATTACAAACCAGCAGAAAAATATGGATTAATAAGCAAAAAAGTTTTTTCCAAACCCTTGTTTTCAAGTGATCATAACTCTCTTCAAGAAGTTTTAGCATAAATGATAAGTAGTTTATCTATTTTGTGGGCGCAAGCTAGTACAAAAAAAAGATGGAAAGGGCTTGGACAAATTGCGCAAAGAAAAGAAATCTAAACCATATTTTCCTCTTTTTTCAGCAATTTTCGTAGGAATCATACCCTCAATACATAAAGCCACGTACCTGGTAACCTTTACTTGAGGGCTATGAAAGGCACAACCTTCTCCGGCAAAAACAACAGAAGTCATCCGGGGCGAATCCCCGGATGTTATTATCCTGACTATATCGGAACGAATGTTAATGATGCAAATGTAGGGAATGGTATCTTTTGGTTATCTCAGCGCTACCCAGAATTTTTTTAAAGAATATTCTACACTCAAGGTGCGCCATTGCATTTTCATAGCTATTTTCTACGTTGAAAAGAAGGTTTCTGTGAAACTTCCGCCAGAATTCAGGACAACATATTCGAATTGACTTTTATTTAAACAAATCCGAATTTCAAAAGTTTAGGGAAGCTGTCGGAGGCGAATAAAAATGCGAAACTGCGCCTAAATATTGCGCAAAAGTTGCGCACGAGAACGCTGGTTTTTCTCGTTGAAGTGATTTTTAAAGCTTGAGATGCTGCAAGTTCCCCTCGTCGTGTAATGACGATCAGAATGTTATATAATATATAACGTTGCAGGATTTCGTTGAAAATCCGCGGAGATCTAAGACCAGAGCCAAATGCTTCTTCGGCTCTGGTCTGTCTCCGCTGCTCGTCTGCGTCTCCGCGCGCTACGCGCTGCGTCGCTACCCCAAACGCGGGGCTCGGGGCATTTGGCTCTGGTACCTTTTTCTGCGCTGTTTCGAATCCAATTTTTGCAAGCTATATATCAAATTAAAGCTTTTGATCTTTATTTTCACGCTGACAACGTCCCAAAACCACATTTTCTGATTCGATCGAGAAATCCGGCAAAAACCTTGTTTTCGAAAATCTCTTGTTTTCTTCTAATTTAACTCCTTTCACGCGGTTTTTTCGTGCATTATATAGATTTTGCTTTTGTTCATAATGCAGACAACCACCCAGCCATTATCTCTTCAATTATGGCAAAATTTTTCGCGAAAAATCGTAAAAAGTGCGTTTTTCACCTTGTTCTGGTTCAGTGCTTTCGCAGCGATCTTTCTTTCCAGCTTGGGCAATTGTTGCTCAGAACAATAAGCGCAACAATCCAGACAACCTCCCAGGAAACAGGAACGTCGGGGGTAAAAATGTGAAGGACGCATCAAAAATGAATTTCGCTTCGACGTTCTTTTTGACTTAGTAAAAAAGAAACTTTGCGTTTTTTTAACTAATTTCTTTCTTGTTTATCTTATTCGTGACAACCACTCCTTCCGAAACCTGTTTTTATTTGAAACAATCACATAAAAGAATTTAGCCCTTTTTCGCTTTCCCACTGTTGCAAATTGCTGGTCTTGAAGCAAAAATCTGCACTTTGAAAGCGGTCAAATGAAAGATTTCAAATCTTATTGCAGTTTTTCATCCAATTTTCAGCAGTTTATTTTACTTTTTACATCTGTTTTACGTCATTTTCTCTTTTCTGATCTTCTTCAAACAATCTTCACTTTTGACGCCCCGTCTCTAGACTATGGAAAATATGGTAGGCCTCAAAATCCCAAAATATAAAATTTTGTGATTTTCTGCGTACAGAACGGTTAAACATTTGTACAAAAACTGTCAACAGGAGACCGACTTTTACGCTTACAGAAATGAGCAAAGCTTTGGCGATTGGTGAGTTTTTTCAAAGGAAATCTATGAGCCACGGAATAGCCAGAACGACTACTTATGTTGAGACGCCGAAAAATCAGCCTAAATAATTTCCAAGAAGACAGTAGAATGTATATAATGTAGACAATTTTTGTTACATACAATAGTCAGATTTTCAAAAAAAAAAAATGCCTTCATTCGCGCTTAGATTCTAGCCAGGAAAGTAAATGTTATGAAATTCTGGTTTCGAGTGCGGATGTGTGAAGCTTTATAAGTTTCAGCGAATGAGGCTAGAAGCCCGTTTCAACAATTATTGTAGCATTAAAAGAGCTTTCGATAGTATGCTAAGGTTTTTTCAGAAAAGAAAGTTTATTGGAAAAAATTTGTCCTGAAACAAGAACTACAAAAACGCGCTTTACTTTTGCACCAACCTAACTCAATTTATTTCTTCATTCGTTGGCTAAGTTTTTCCTTTCTATCTATAAGATCATTTTTGGACCCCGTTGGTAGGGCTCATTGAGCATTTCGGCAGCCACGTTAAATTCAGGCTGATATTTTGAGAAAGCCCTTCCACCTGTCATATGAAGCAATCTATGACTATTTATACATATTATCCTGGATTGCAACCAAGTTTTCGAAATCTGTGATGATGGTTTATGGCAAAACCCGCTTTTAAACATTTGTAGCGTATAGTGAGTAATCAAAAAGTGAATTGTACAAAGCAAGATCTTGATAAGTCACAAAAGTTTATTAACAATCAAGCTTTGACTCCCACTCACTTATGGGAACCCCTCTGATTAACTTGGTAGCCATAGAAATTTTTATTTGTTTTTAGTGAAGAGAAAAATACAGCAACTTTCAACATACATGTGGTGTGGGTATGGTAAGCAAGCAAAGGAGTAGAATTACACAGCAGTGTGATATGATTTACTCGTTCTGTTTATTGTGGAATAAATATCTGTACCAATCTTGGACGCTGCTGAAGAAATCAATCAGAAGATTCAAACTATACCAAGATTTATGGATGGTCAAACATGGATTCTGATTTACTCGTTATTTAGGCTTTTGGATCTCCTAGTCTTTTTTCTCCAAACTTCACATGGAACAAAGCTGGTGCAAATGTTCAAATATTAGATTGTCTTTGATTTACCGCAGCAAGTTATATATTTTTTACTTATTAGGGTGCAGAGATTCAGTGTAGCTCAAAGCAAGGTCCGTAAGATGAAACGTGAACGTTTGCATCACTTCAATACACCTGAGTAACTAGCCAAAATCTTAGAAGTTTTTATCCGAAAAACTGAAAAAAAAGTTCATATTTCGTCCAGTACATTCTTTTCGGATTTTTCATCTTTTTTCGCAAGTAACTAGCTTTCTATAATACAAGTACTAGCTCCCAAAATGCTAACGACTTGTCAACATGAAAGACCCACGTGAGGAAAGCTAAATTGAAATTTTTCTGAGACCTATTGTAGGAAGGGAACACGGAGAACATCGTGAATGACGAAGATTGTGATATTACGGCAATCCAATGCTGCTACGATTGTTTAACCAGCGCAAAGTTCATCTTCTCCTGCCAATCACGTCATCCAGCAAGTGGAGATAACATGTCAGAGCGTTTTCGCTGCCTTCTACAATGAGCATAGTGCAAACCATAGCATTACTCCTGCCAACGATAGAGAGTTCATTGGTGATGAGTGCTTTTTGAGATTTGGAAAAAACATTCACAGGTTCACTGAAATTTTCATCACTGAAGTATTGGCCTACAATCCTCAACAAGATGCAATGCACTTCTTCTTCTTCACTTCTTCTGATGAAGCCTTATACGTTGATTATGAAACTACCCCGAAGTGATGCACATAATCAGTGACGCGTGGTATTAAGGAAGTTCACGATTGCAGCGCCATTGTAATCATAGCTTTAATAGTTTTCACGTTTTCTGCCTACCAAAGATTATAGCAATAATCCTCTGCTAACTCATTGGATGACACCAAGCTTAGTCATGTACATATTTGATATCACTTATCACCTTATTCGCGCAACCCAGGATATTGCAATCAGTAATCACACCTCAAGTGGTCGTTATTAACAATGACACGACCACCTTCCAACATCTGCATAAATAGGGAAAGAGGCAACACACCGCAGCTACTATGTCGTTTCCATCCGCTGTCTCTATTCGCCGTCCCGAAACCGAAGAGGATCTGCTCGACGTGGAGTTGGATTATGAAGAAGATAAACCGGTCACGGAAGTTCTACCAGCCCCTCAAGTGAACCAGCCGTTGCGTCAAAAAAAAACGCGGCGCTTTCGACCCAGCCACCTTGTGCCGAATCCAACGAATTGCCAAGGAAAAAGATACAGTTGCTAGTTACTTCGAAAGTAATTTTGCGCTCAAAGGAGTTTTCCGAGGCTTACCGCAAGGACGACTCAAGAAGATGTTTTACTCGATAAACGAGAGGACTTCTTGAATGACCTAATACAAGTGTTCCAAGAATATGTACTAACAATAAGTCAATACATAAGTTTTGCACCAAAGTAAGATCCAAATGCCCAAAAAAATCGAGAAAGAACAGAACTTCATCCAATAGGTCCTAAAAATTCTTACTTCGTTACGCATATACGTTCATTTCAAAAATTCATATACAAAGCTGCTGTATATTCTTTTTGGCTAGAAGTCGAGAGAAAAATCACAATTTCATTTCTAAGCAATCCTGAACTGTTCGCGCTTTAGTAGGGTGTCCTAAAAAATGTACCGAACGTTTGGTTTTTAATAACCTTTTCATATGGAAAGTTTTCGCGGATCTATGGGTGCCAACCGGTAGGGCTAGCTTCGACTTAGATCTACAAAATATAGAGCGAATCACCGATTTCCCTTAATTACTATAGGATTACTGTAGAAATTTATGACCAATTTTAGGTCTGACAGACGAGAATTGCTTCTTAAATTCTTTATGAACCGAAAAACGTCAAACTAAGGCCCGTGGTGATGCTGAATTCAATTACAAAGTTTTCTAATACCATACTACTTGGTTTCTTACGATATGTGCGCTGCAACGGTAAATTTTTGACTTTTTTTTCCAAAATTTACTAAATCGTGGTCACCTTTGTCCCAAAGTTCAAACCTTAAAGACTTCTACATTCTTTTATAAGTGCAAATGATGCGTGCAATTACAAAATTAGGTTTTAAAGACAACTAATGATTTGAATTGATCTAATTGATTTGATTGATTGATTTCGATGGTTTGTAACTGCAACGTTGAATTAGTAAATTTTGAAAAAAGGCTAAGTATTTAGCGTTACTGCGCGCATGCCGTAAGAATCCAAGGAGTACGGTATCGAAAAAGTTGTTGATTAAATTCAGCATTCACGAAGAACTTAGTTAGACGTCATCGGTTTCTAAAGAATTTTTTAGAAGCAGTTCTCGTCTGTCAGAAACCTGAAATTGGTCGATTATTCCTACCGTAGACCTATAGGAACTAAGAGTAGTTGGTGATTCACCCTAAGTTGCAAATCTAAGTTGAAGCTACGCTTTACGGCATCTAAAGATCCGCGATAGCTTTACACATAAGGAAGCAGTGGCGTACCGAGGTGGGGGGGGGAGGGAAATGGGTCGAGAAATTTTTGTAAGTTACTTACATGTATATTAAAAAATGTGCAAGGGACTTGTTTATACTTTATATATTTAAAATAATATTTTAATTTTTTACAGAATTCAAATTAGCCTTATAAAAAAAATTTTTCGGGGCGTGGCAAACGCCACGCCTCCTTTTTCTGAAATTTCGGGGTTAGGGACCCATAAAAATTTTGAGAAGCGTACGAAACAATTTTTCGGAGTGCGTGGCTAACGCCACGCAGCTTCATCGGAAAATTTTTTTTGTCGTCTCCCCTTCCGAGCTGGGAGGGGAGACGACAAAAATCTTGGGTGCGACACTGTAGGAAAGTTATTTGAGATCAAACCTTTAATACATTTTTTCGGTACACCCTGTATTTTCTACTGCCGCTTTGAAAGTACGATCATATGTTTTTGCCCTTGCACGAACGCTAGACTTTGAGAACGTCCGAAGTCAGCCCTCTTTGTTGAAACTTGTTATGACAAGTTCGATTTCTAAATAGCCCCTGTAGAAAGCCGAAAATACACAGTAGCAATTCTAGGATCTTGTAGTACCCAGCAATAGTGTGGAAACAAGACAGTACCGCTCCAGAAAAACCGTGAAAGTTTTATTTTTTTACAATCTTTAGCCAAGAAAAGCATACAACATCTTTTTATATTAACGTCGGATCTGAAATGTGCATACGTAAACAACAGAATCGACAGAAGTTTCTAATTTCACTCAGGCATTTGAATCTTTTCTGTTTTTGGCTCCAAAATTCGCGTTGATCAAGTTTAGTGCAAAGGCTCAATGACCATCTAGTGGAGCTTACTTTGATCTATCATATCCAAAGCTTCAAAGTATAGGGGAAGTGTAATCGGTTCCCTTATTGCTGTTGTTAAACTGATTTTGGCGCAAGTTTGTGTATCCACTTATCACTCATTTGTCACAACAATATCTCTCATTGTGCAAAGTCATTTGTAACCTTTATATAACACTCTTGTAGAGCTGGATTCATCTTATTATTAATTTACAGCATAGAGAGAATCATCGATCTCTCTTTATCACTGTAGAATTACGGTAGTAACTTCCACCACACGACCTCGTTGTGAATCAGCTGCAGTTTCAAAAAATGTCTGAATATTTTGAAAAGTTGTGTAGAAAAGGTTGAATGAGACTTGACACTCAAGAAATATTTCTTTTTATCCTCGAATGTGTCCCGCTTACGCAGGGTCTGCTTTTCTCGTGAGATGTCTCCATGTCGTCCTATCTGAGGCAAGGTCTTCATCTATACCAAGTTCTCGCAGGTCGGCCTTGATTCTGTCCATCCACCTCATCTTGGGTCTACCTCTGGGTCGTTTGCCTGGCGCCTCCACAGCCAGGGCTGACTTCGTGATGTGACTTTCATCCCTTCTGCGCACATGCCCATACCATCGTAACCTCTTTTCCTGCATTTTCTGGGCAATCGGAGCTACTTTCATTTGCGCTCGTATAGTGTCATTGCAGATGTGATCCTTTAGTGTGACTCTTAAGGTCCATCGTAGCATCCTTGTTTCCATCACACTGCGTTTGCGTTCCTCGACGCGCGTACATGGCCAGCACTCACTGCCATACAGTGCTGCTGGCCGGATGACGGTGCGGTACAGTTGGGACTTAAGTTGCACTGGCATTCTTCTGTCGCACAGAACTCCTGTTAAGGCTCTCCATTTCATCCATGCTGTGTTCATCCTGCTTGCAATCTCCTCTTGTAAGCCTCCTTCCGCTGAAATGTGAGTGCCTAGGTACTTATATGACGTTGTCTTCTTTAGCTCTTCACCATCGATGCTTATGGTACCAGGAGTCTGTTTCCCCACTTCCATATACTCTGTCTTCCCGATGTTGAGCTTCAGGCCATACAACTCTAGCCTGTTCTTCCAGTTTTGCACTTCGTCTTGTAGCTCCTTTCTGGAACTTGCTACCAAGACCACATCATCTGCGTAGAGAAGTGTCCAAGGAGGATCGCGTCTGAGCGGTTCCATCACGGCGTTCATCACAGTGATGAAGAGCAAGGTAGAGAGATCTGAATCTTGGTGTACTCCGACCTTGATTAGGAATTCTTTCGATTGCCCTGCAGCTGTTTGCACGTGGCTTGAAGCGTTGTGGTAGATCAACTTTATCCACTGAACGTATTCCTCTGGCACTCTGTGTTTCCGTAAGGCCCACCATATGACTTCATGGGGCACCTTATCGAAAGCTTTCTCCAGGTCCAGGAAGGCTGCATGCAATTCCTTCTGCTTTTCTCTATACTTTTCCGTTACTATCCGGGCGGAGTGGATTGCGTCAGTTGTACCTACTCCTTTTAGGAATCCGCATTGATTTGGTGACAACTCTATGATATCTCGAAGACACGCGTTTCGATTATTCGCTCGAAGATTTTCAGAGTGTGGCTCATCAGTCGGATTGGTCGGTAGGTAGAGCAGTCTGCTATGTCTCCTTTGTTCTTCCATATCGGGATCGTCGTGCTGGTGTACCAGTCGCGAGGCATACTCTTGCTCCTTACGACTTGATTGAGGAGACTCGTTAGCCATGTAGCCCCGGATTGTCCACATATTTTCCAGAACTCGCTTGGTATATCGTTTGGACCAGTCGCTTTGCCATACTTCGTTCTTCTTATGGCTAGCCATACTTCCTCTTCCGTGACCGCTGGTACTGGTCCTTGTATGGGACTGGCTTCTGAGATGGAGTTGATGATGGTGCGGTCTGTGGTGGCCATTTCTTCGAAGTAGGTTTTCCATCTCTCGGTGATGTCCTCTGGTTTTCTTAGCACTCTACCAAGTTTGTCTTTGATATGGAGGAAGTGTTCCATATCTTTTGTGGATTCCGCTCTTCTTTTCGCTATCCGGTATATCTCACGTTCTCCCTCGCGAGACTCTAGGTGGTCGTAGAGCTCTTTCAAGTACACCTGTTTTGCATTCTTTACGGAAGCCTTCGCAGCGTGCTTGGCTTGTTGGTACGTCTGACGATCGTCCTCCAATTTCGTCTTATGCCATCGCTTGTACGCATTCCTCTTCTCCTTTATGACTTTTTGCACTTCGTCATTCCACCACCACGTTTCTCGATTGATCCTTCATTTTCCTGGCTTCGTACTTCCCAGGATGATGTGTGCCACTTCGTGGAGTCGATCTTTCAAGCTTTTCCAGGATTGATCTGGGTTATCTTGCAAGCGTGGTAGAGTTGTTTGCAGTGTTTGTTTCGCCGCGTTGTTGTCTTTCAATCTCCACCATTTGATGCGTATCCTGGTCTCTGTGGCCTTCCTGGTGTGCCTATTTATTGGGATTCTAATGTCGAGAAGCAGTGGTCTGTGCTGAGGTATGCAGCTCTCACCTGGAATGACTTTGCAGTCCTTTACGTTTTTGAGGTCACGTTGTCGGATAGCCCAGAAGTCTATCTGTGTTCGTCGATCGCCACTCGCATATGTTATGAGGTGATCATCCTTCTTGATGTAGTATGTGTTCGCCAACACCAGATCATGAGCTGAGGCGAATTCCAGAATGCGCTCACCTTCCTCGTTGCAGGTTCCGTATCCGTGGTCTCCGTGACATTTTCCGGCTTCTCCTCGCCTTTTTCCCACATGCCCGTTGAGGTCCGCTCCTAGCAGGAGTGTCTCATCCAGTGGAATTGAACTGAAGTGGTCATCCATCTCCTGCCAGAACGCGTCTTTTTCGTCATCCTTACATCCGACTTGCGGAGCATAGGCGGTGATTACTCGCAGGACCTGTTTCCCAGTGTCTATCTTGATGCTCATCAGACGATCGCTCAGGCGCTCAACGTCAACTATATTGCTCCGTAGAGTCTCCGAGACAGCTTTACCAACCCCGTTTCTGGTGCAGGTGGCACCGCTGTACAGGAGCTTATATCCATCCCTGATGTCGCGTGACTTTGCCCCGCTCCACTTTGTTTCCTTGTATGCAGGCTGCATCGACTCGCCGTCTCTTCAGAAGATCTGCTAACTCACGAGAACGAGAGGTGAGTGTACCCATATTGATGGTAGCTAGACGGAGATAGCCGCTTTAGCCGTCCCCGTTCACCTTGCTGAGACGGTAACCCTCGCCCACTATTCGCATTCGTCGGGCTCGAATGCGCGTCGCCTCCGGGGGACGCCCTAGCCTTTACTCGAGATACTTTATGAGACATGTCTGCATTTGTGATGCGACGGGGTGTTTCTCAACCGGCTTGTCGCATGCCCTTTTTTGGAAGGGCAGCCTGACGCTGAAATTGTGAGCAGAGTTTTGCCGCAGAAATTAGGCTCAGGGTGGTATCGAACCCGTGACTTTCAGCACGGCAATGTTACGTAGAGCACTAACCACTAGACTAACTCTGCTCTGACACTCAAGAAATATAATGACACCAATTATATTTTTAGAGTGTGTGAAGCTTTTCAAGTGATGTGATCTGGATTTTACAAACACGGAGAAAAAAATTGTTATTGGTAGGTGGCATAATTAATAAACGAAACATTACGCTAAAGTTCAAGCTTCATATTTAGGATCAGCGAAGCTGAGTCATCATTGTTACGAGCTATCTAGCCCAGGCAGCCTCAATATTTTTCTGAAGTTTAAGCCGGTTGCCGTATCGCCGTCAAAGTTATTTTCCCTACCTTATACAGCGCGCTACAATCTCTTTCTCAGTACTTTGTATCAAACTCTAGTGTGACTCTTGCATTTCTTCCTTTGAGTCTTATCAGCTTCAAAAAGTTCAAAGCATCTTTAAGATAATCTTTCCAACTGTAGACTCTTTCTATACGCCTCTTTCTGTGATTTTTCTCCCATTTGAGCTTAATGTTAAAAATCAAGTAATTGCCAAACTCAAAATCATGATAATGATGCCATGTCCGAATGGGTTTTGGTTTACGGAACGCCAAAAAATAACCTTGAAAAATGATTTTTGCATGTAAGTATTTATGTGCTAAATTACTACAAATGGAGAGTATTATAAATTTGCAGTCTTAACTGACTCACAGCAGCATAGTATACCGAATGGATGCCAGCAACCATCAGTTCAGCATTTGGCCTTGTGGCATTTCTAAGGCATTGGTAAATGATAAATGTTTCCCAAATAAACTAAAATTTTCAAAAAATTGTTTGATCGATGCGGTACTTTTTTGATATGTAAAAAATATCACGGTTATGAGAAGATCGGTAACATACGAGTTGTCACATGCAAACTAAGTGAGAGCATGTTGAAACATATTTTCTTACTATTGAGAATTTCTAATGATAAGTTACTATTTCAAATAGATAACACCACGAGCGAAAATATCACGAGAGGTAACAAAACGTCACATGACCGTGTTGTCCGTGAAGCTCGCTCCTCCAACGAGGGTAATTTTCGCTTCAGTACAATTGAAGAAAGTTAAAGGCAATTGCAGAAAATGCGAAAAGAAAACATCGCTTACCGTAACTGCTGTTGAAAAATGGAGAAATAGTAAAAATGGAAATAGCAAGAAATAGTTTTTTTTTCTAGTGTTGTTCACGATAAGCTTCGCAATGCAACAGTATGCGAGCATTCTACTGAACAACGCACGTGTCATTGATACCAAATGTGCTAGAGCTCGTTCTATTTGACAATTGCATGTCTCCCAGTATAAAAATGCTTCAGAATATGTGAGCATCATTCGAAATGTTGTTTTGCTGGTTACTCATTGTAAGTTACATTCCTCAAAGTTTATTGGTTGATAACTATATATTTAGATTTTGGCAGCTCATACTGTCCATGGCATCCAAACACTCAAAGTAAGAAAATGTAATGGCGGGTACTACTGCGTCGCCTGTAAAGACGGAAAACCTTATTGGAATAACATCCCAGCGGCATTTGGAGAGCAATGCGGGTTTGATCGCAATCATGTGGTAAGATTTTGATGATAGCTACAAATCTTGGTTATTGATCTCCAAGTTGCTCTTAACGAAATGACTGTTTCATTTGCAAAGCTCATTAGATATTCTTTTGAACAGTTCCCACATCACATTTAGAAACTTTTATGTTCAGTTTTACAATAAAAGCTTGGAATGCGAGCTTGATAAACATGTAAGTGTTTGGCACCATGGCGATTATGGAGACGCTTATGTGGTTTGGATGGACTTGTAAGTTTAAGCAGCTATTAGCTTTCTCTTCAAATGCATCAGTTTTTAGCTTCACTCGTCAATGGGGAACAAAGAAAAATGATCAAAGCGCAGTAGCCAAAGAACTCATCTGGCATTACACAGGTCTAGTATGGACAAATTTTGGACTGCATAGATGGCATCTCTGTAATGTGGGATAAGTTGCACTTAATCACTTAATATAATAACAGAACAGCGTTTTCCTCCAACTAAAATAGTGACTTGAGATAGTTTTTAGTATAGCAAAGCAAGTTCTACTAGTGCTATGTAATTTGATCAACATTACACGGGGTGTCCCAAAAGTAAGTACACACTTTTCAATCGTCAATATCTTTCTTTCCAATGGGTCGTTTTTTGCCACTCAAGTACCATTCTGTAGAGGAGGCTTCAACTTAGATTTAGTTGTCGAGCGAATCACAGATCGCCCTTGCTGTAGGATTAGGACAAGAACTTCCAGCATGTGGAACCACTGTGAAATATGCCACCCGACGGAATTTTTTCAAAAAATCTGAAAGATCGTGTACTAGGGGGTTTTCGCGCACGCTGATTTCACTACACGGCTTTTTAGGAGTGTTTTTAGCTTTTTGGACGGTGCAATCACATTTCTGACAAATACTGGGAATTCGGTTGTTACGGTTTACCAGGGATAACTTCGGAAAGAAGCATCACGGTAGAGTGGAAATTTTATAATCAAAATCAACGGCTTCCATTACCATAGTATAGGAGCTTACGGTTTGTTTGGTTTTGATCAGAGGCAGAATATGGCTTCCAATGGTCTAAAATCCTTGTCGATGTTCCTAAAGCAATCCTACAGTAATGAAGAGCGATATTCAGACAATTATGGCGAGCACCCGCCGACCACCCATGGGCGACGCCATGCCCATCCCGAGGGCGCGCTGATAAGTGCCCCATAAGCGCCCGAGAGTGCCCGCGGGTGACCCGCTTCTCTCCAAAGTTATCCTAGGTAAACCGTAGCAACCGAGTCCCCGGTATTTGTTGGAAATGAGGTAACACCGTCAAAAAAGCTGTAAACACTCGTAAAAAGTTGTGTAGTGGAATCAGCGGGCGCAAAAACCCTAGTACAGATGTTTCAGATTTTTTGAAAAAAATTGTTAGGTGGTTAATTTCACAATGGTTCTATATGCTGGAAGTTCTTAACATCTACAGTAATGAAGAGCGATAGGTGATTCGCTCGATGCCGTGAATCTAATAAGGAATGCTACCTAACTTAGCTTGGCCTTTTGATAAAAAACATTATATATATATTCTGAATCAGCTCAAACGCTGATTCCAAATATACTGTTTTTAGCTGCCACGCACCATTCCGAAGCGAGTTATGGGCTTTTTTCTACGCAAAATTGGCATACCACTGAACATGAGAAGACTGCGTGTAGATAAAAATTTACAAGAAAAAGGTGCTAAGATATCAAAATAGTACAAATCCAATCTTTTCCCACTGAAAAAAGCTTAACGCAGGTGTATCAGCACTTAAACGATGATGGCGTGATGCTCGTGAGTCGATGAGCATGCGAACTCTGCTCAGGAAAAAGCACATAACTCGCTTCGGAATGGTGCGTGGCAGCTAGAAATAGCATATTTGGAATCAGCGTTTGAAGCCGATTCAAACTACATATGTTAGTTGCCAAAAGGCCGAGCTAAGTTAGGTGGCTTCCCTTGTAAGTTCAACTTCGCTCTATGAAATGGTCCCTAAAGCTTTCCGAAACACTTCATTACAAGAGAGTTATTTACAATCAAACAGTAGGTACATTTTTTTGGGACACCCTATAAATTAGGTGGGTCCGAAAGTTCGTGCCGTTTCTTAGACCTATTCCAAAATCGTTCAAAATGAGGATAGTGAAATCATTTTAAAAGCATCCGGTGCAATAACTTTTCTCTATCCAGCAGCTATGATTCGGTTGTGACTGCTTCGACGGGCACCAAGATAATTGCCGAAAACCCTTTATTTTTACCATATCTAATTTTCGCTAATTTCCAGAATTTTCATTATACACTTCTGAAGTTGCTCTAATCACCACCTAATAAGGCAAATCTTTTTCAAATTAATGCATGTTTTTGCATCTGTCTAGCATGCTTTCTAGAATTACCAAAATATATATTTTAAAGTGACCAATTTTCATATTTGGCTTATCCTAACTTCAACATCAGACATCAAACAGTTTAGGTACCATTCGATGCATTTTTCTCCTCTTTCTGATAACTACCTTTTTTTCGCAAAACATGCGACTTTTGCAGAAAAAATCGCTGTACTTCCCAATTTTATGGGTGCGCAATGGTGTAGTCAAAATTCCAAAATCTCTCCATTTTCACGCCGTAATCGCTCATTTACTTTGTAATACTATAATAGTAATAACCAAGTTTTAGAAACTCAATATTCTGAGGATCTCGCAGTGTTTGGTGCAATTATGTGCCACGCAAATTTTCCGAAATTCAATGCTCTATAAAATGATTTAGCAAAATTCCAAAAAGAGATCCGAAAAGTTGCAAAAAATTGCATTAATTTGAAAAAGGTTTGCCTTATCAAGAAGCTTTTAGAGCACCTTTAAAAGTGCAAAATGAGAATTCTGAAAATTAGCGAAAGTTAGACATGGTAAAAATGAATGGTTCTTGTTTTTGACAGTTGTCTCAGCGCTCGAAGAAGCAGTCACAACGGGAACATAGCTATTGGAAAGATGAAGACATTCTGTATCGGACACAGTTTAGACTATTTGTTTATCTTCATTTCGAACGATTTTAGACAATACTGGGCTGTTCCGACACAAGTAATTGTATACTACAGACCATTATACATGGTGTCCCAAAAGTATGTGTACACTGTTTGATTGTTAATATTTCTTTTCCCAAGAAGTCTTTTGCCCACCTTCAGTCATCATGGTAGAGCTGGCTTCAACTTAGATTTACAGTATGGGGAAAATCTTCGAACGTTCTTCATCATTGTAGGATTATGGTAGGAACTTTCAGCTTATAACTTCATGGTGGATTTATGGTGGAAAAAAGTTCCCAAGAAACCCCGAAAAGTGGTGTACCACGGTTTTCACTCGCCCTAATTTTATTACCCAACTATTTAGATTCTGCACAGCCTTTTGAGTGGTGTAATCACGATTTTAGAAAGCACTGTGAAAACTGTTACTGCGGCTTATTTGGCTTCACTTATGGAAGAAGCTTTGCGGTAAAGTGCGAACTCCATATTTGGTCTTGTCGGCTCGAATTAGCCTAGTTCAGAAGATTTTAGGTTGTTAGGTTTGCTCTGTGAGGTGGAATATGGCCTCTAATGGTTCACAAATTTTCCTGAAGTTTTTACCATAACCCTACAGTAATGAAAAGTGATGGGTGATTTGCTCCATACTGTAAATCTAAGTTGAAGCCAACTCTACAAAATGGTGCCCGAGGTAGGCTAAATTCTTCTTGGAAAAAGAGCAACGATCAAACAGTGTGTATATGCTTTTGGGACACCTTGTATTATAGTTATGACTGTATATTTTTAGCCTTTTTCGAACGCTAGTTTTTTTAAGATGGCTCGAAAAAGGCTAAAAATTTGCAATTATGCTTACAGTTTATTAGGTCGGTCCGAAACTTTAGTTGTTTCATGTTCAAAATTGTAACTTTGCGCTATCTCAACGGATTTCCTCGCTTGTAATAATTTTACTAGAAAGATTAAGTCTTTCGCTTTCGAAAGCTCTCTTGCATATATTCTGTTTCACAATGGCTGCAGAAAAAAAAATGGAAAAGGAAGACCATTCAAGCCTTAATCAATTTGAGTTAGGCCGCCAAAATTCTGGAATGCTGCAGCAAAAATCGAAAAAAAGTCACTACTTGAGTTTTTGAGGTTTCTGTAAGAAGTTATGATATTCGGGAAAATGACAAATTGATTAATTTTGGCGTTTTGTATAGTAAAGAAATTCGTAGCTTTTTACAGAGACCTCCAAACAGCACAAACTTTTTACAGTTGAACAGATTAGCTCGTAAAAGTTGTGTATTGACGACTTCAGATTTTTTTGCAACGTTCCAGATTTTTGGCGGCCTAATATAAAATGATCGAAGCGTTAATAATCTTCTTATCCAATTGTCTGCAGCTAGTGTTCGAGAGATAGTCGCTAAATGACTATTGCAAAGTAGAAGGTTTCCACCTTCTGATAAAATTATAGCAAAACAAATGTGTTTAAATGGCGAGAAGTTACAATTTTTTTCAGAATGAAACGGCAGAACTTTTGGACCGACCTAATATATGCCTTGCAGTATAAAATTCCAATGTCGGAACTCTATTGCTCAGCTTTTGGTTGAGATAAAATGCACTGAGGGAATATGTGAATGCTTGATGTCTATTACATAGATATGTACGAGTGGAAAGTCCGTAGGAATATTTTGGACAAGAATACGATTTTTTCCATTTTTTTGGGATTAAAACTACAGGGTGTCTCAAAAAATGTGCCTGCTCTTTGAATGTTAATAACTGTTAATAACTTTCCTGAAATGGAGTCTTTCGAGAAGCTTTGGGAACCATTTTATAGAGCTCGCTTAAGCTTAGATTTACAGTATGAAGCAAATTATCGTTTGCTCTTCATTACTGTAGGATTACGGTAGAAATCTCAAAGTGGGTTTTGAGCCATGAAAGGCCACATTTTGCCTTACGAAACAAATAAAACAACCTTAAATTTTTCACAGTGAGCTAATTAGAGTTGATGATCCTAAATGTGGAGTTCGCAACGCATCATAACGCTTCATTAAAAAGTTATGCGAGTTAAGCAGTACAGGCCGTTTTTTCAATGCTCCCAAAAGTGCTGTTACACTGTTTAGGAAGCTTCACAATCTTTTACATAGTTGAGTATTGTGCACAGCGTCCATGGAAACCCTATTGCACAATTTTTCACGTTTTTTGAAAATTTTTGAAACGGCGGCTTTTTCTCACAGTGACACTGTATGCTCGAAGTTTCCACCATAATCCTACAGTAATGAACAGTTATCGGCAATTCCAGCTCTACAAAACGGTGCTCAATGCTTCTCAAAAAACTTAATTGCAAGAAAGTTATCAAAAATCAAACAGTAGGCACATTTTTTTGGGACACCCTTATATAGTTTTTGAGTTTTAACTTAAGGTGGAACAACTTTGGATCGGAAGCATCAATGCGATGTCCAAGATTGCTTTGCTCTATCGAACTGTGCCTCTCTTGCAATCTTGGGGTTCGCCTGGTTGCGTTGTCATAGCGAACAAGTGAAAAACTACATTATCTTCTTTACAACCTAGTAATTGTAGTCAGCTTGAAACGCTAGTTCCAAGAATGCTATTCCTAACGGCGGCACACCATTCTAAAGCGAGTTATTGATTTTTTGCATAAGGAAATTCAATGCTTATCTGACCTACTGGTATTACTGTACTGACATTTGAGTGATATTACACTGTGTTGAGTCCTTTGCTAACGACAACGGATTCGATCTGTTCTTAGTTCAATAATGCAGCGCTTTATAATCAGATTTTTATCTACAGTCATTCATCCCATGTTAAGCGATAGCCAATTTCGAACATATCCCTTCAGAGTGATGTGCCGCAGCTGGAAAAAACATATTTGGAATCAGCGTTTTGAGCTGAATCCAAGAGTTTGCTCCAACTTACAATTGAATTTACAGTATGGAGCGAATCACCGATCCCCCTTTGATGTCGTAGGATTACGGCAAAAACTTTCAGCTTACAGTGTCGTTGTGGATTACATTTTCGAAAAAAATCTGAAAGCTTGTGACTTATGCGCGCTGACGTCATTACTCAACTTTTTAGAAAGTTTTTGAAGCTTACTGAATGATGTAATCACAATTATAGAGAGTACCGTCAAAACAGCTAGTTGCGGCATAGCTCATGAATGAAACTGCGGAAAAGGGCAAACTTCATATTCGGTGTCAGCGGCCGATTAGCCTAGTGCAATTTTCAGCTTTTGGTTTGCTTCTCAAACCGAAATAAGGTCGTCAATAGCTGAAAACCCTCTTCAGAATAGAGCGATTGGTGATTCGTTCCATACTGTAAATCTGGGTTTGAGTAGCTCTACAACATGGTACCCAATGCTCCTCGAAAGGCTTCACGACAAGAGAGTTATTGACAAATAAACAGTAGGCACATTTTTTGGGACACCCTGTATAAGCCTAGCCAATCTAAATCAGATGCCTTCCTTGCTGAATAATTCAAAGAAACCCTCGTATGAGTAGTGCTGTCCACATCATTGTCCTTTTAATGTTTGTAATTTGTAATTTTCTCCAAGATGAGCAAAAAAATTGTAACGCAATTTAATATTAGGTCGTTTCAAAAGTAATTTCGCTTTTTTCAAACGGGCGCCACATTTGATAGAACAAAAGTTTCTAAGAAATCTTGGAAGCATTCGATGCAGAATTTCATTCTCTTTCTAACGGTTATGAAATTGTTGCAAAACAGTCAAAGTGTTTTCAGAAAATAACCAAAATCTGCGACCCATGCTTTTTGAGATGGTCAAGTTTCACGATTTTTTAAAACTTTCGTATCAGTCCTCAGAAGGAGTTCAAGTAATTAATAGAGTAAGCCTTACAGAATACAGCACTACTTTTTTCTCTTTCTCGTAGCTCGCGGTAATTTTCTAAAAGATTTTTTTAACAGACCCAACGGATTTTGACAGGCCCACCTCAGGCACAATCGCATCAAACATCAGTAATTACTCGGAGTTTCAAGCTTTCAAAATGATATATGGCTTAATATTGATTTTATAAAGCAAATGAGAGTTTACGGGTTCGAAATATCAAATCTTGAGTTTTTCGGGTACAGCCTGGGGCTCGCTAAAGAAATGAGTTATGATGATTTCTCCCCGAAAACTGAATGAATCGGAGACAAAAAAACACCTGTTAGAAAGAGGAGAAAATGTTGCGTCGAATAGTGCGCGAACTGCTCTTCTTTTGATGTTCTACGAGGATTTAGCTGCCCAAGTATGGAAATCGGTAGCATCAGTTATAACTTTGTTAAAAATGTAGGACAAACTATGGAAAGGAGAAAAAAGTAGTTTTGCATTCTGTAGGGTTTGCTCTACAAAAGCGTTGCTAAAACTCCTTCTGAGGATTGATATGAAAGTTTTAAAAAATCGTGAAACTTGACCATATCAAAAAGCATGGGTCGCAGATTTATTTTCTGAAAGCACATTGACTGTTTTGCAACAATTTCATAACCATTAGAAAGAGAATGAAAATCTGCATCTAATGCCTCTAAGAACTCTTAGAAAGCTTTGTTACGTTAAATATGGTGCCCGTTTCAAAAAAGCGAAATTACTTTTGAAACGACCTAATAAAAGAGGAAATAAAAATAACGCTCTTACGAATTAAGTTTAGTCTCTTGACTTTACCAGATATCTAAAAAACCTCAGTCCACCAGTAAAGTAGGTAAAGTTAGGAGAGAGTTATTCTTAGAAGCTGCAAAGTTGCTATTGTGGAAGCTTAAGCAGCCCATTTCCATCAAATTTGTCATACTCGTCGAAGAATAACAACTGTAAATTCCCACCACAATCCAATTATCATTGATGTAAAAAATCCCTAACCGAGACTTATGAAGAGTTTGCAGCACCTCAAGAGCACACATAAACACATCTTCTGCAAGGAGTACACTCTGTGGGTTGACGTATTTCGAGGTTATCAAACGCGCTTGTATTGCTTGCTTAGAAAGCCGAAATCTGGAAAATGATGTTTGCTGTCTGTTTCTTTTCTCTTTCTCTTTTGATCACATCTTGGTTTGATTCGTGTTCTGAACAAAATAAAAAAATGTTTGTATAATCGGCTCCAAGATTCGTATAGAGGCGGGTGCGTGCTTCGTCCGATTTTAAAGGTAAACATATTGAACCTCTACGTTAAAGCATTATTTTTCGTACTCTCTTGCCATCAAAAACCGCCACGCTTTACGCTACGAGCTTCTGTGCGAATCGTGGACCGATAATATTAGGTTGGCACGAAAGTTCTTGCGTAATTCAAACAAAATTCAATAACTTTCCAAAGACTTAACCTAAATTCACAATCTTGTATGCTAAAATATTAGAGGTCTTACGCTTCATAATGGATGTTTAATCATAAGATTCCGTGAGCTGGACATCAAGAACGAAGCTCTCGAATATGGGGCTTCAAATTTCGCGATTTTGGGTTTGGTGCCAGAAAATCGCAGAGTGCCGCTAGCTAGCTGAAAAAAATCTGTAGAATTTACTTACACAACAAAAGTCCACATGTAACTTTGGAAGGCTTTGATCTTGCACGGTGAAGCAAAAACAAAAAATTCGTGAAATAAGTCATTTTGTGGAAAAAAATCCCCTCATGTCCGCAGTTTTCCGGCGAAAACACTTTTTTTACAATCGAGAAAACGTCGCAAGGTTCTAAATAGGCACTATGTCTAATTTCTGGTTGCAAACTGTGTTTCTGTGGAAAAGTTAGTGCGATGAGGGGATTTGTCCTGTGAAATGAGAATTTTCACAAATTTTTTGTTTTCGCGTTTCCATGCGAGATCAAAGCCTGCTAAAACAACGTATGGACTTTTGCTGTGTAAGTAAATTCTACAGATTTTTTTTTCGGCTAGCTAGCGGCACTCTGCGATTTTCTGGCACCAAACTCAAAATCGCAAAATTTGAAGCGCCTTATTCGAGAGCTTCGTTCTTGATGTCCAGCTCACGGAATCTTACGCTTAAACATTTATCATGAAGCGTAAGGCTTGCCATATTTTTAGCATACAAGATTGTGAATTTAGGTTTAGTCTTTGAAAAGTTATTGAATTTTGTTTGAATTACGCAATAACTTTCGTGCCAACCTAATAGATGTGATTTGCAGATGTTTTTTTTTTCAAATAAATGTTTTGAAGTTGGAACCAGTTTAATCTTTATGATATCCTCGAACCTTAATCATGAGCAAAGCTGATCAAACGTAGCTGTAAGTAGAGGAGCAAAGTAAGAATGACTGATGACGCGTTTTGATACCTCAACTTTGAAGTGAGGTGGATCTTTTCAGGATGAAACATTTTAGCCAAAAAGACTAATGAAAATAGCAAACCTTTGGCTATATTCGCTCTTGTATAACTGTAGTCATCACAAGGAAGATTTTTTAGCCTGAAGATTGCCAGATTTTTGGAAATCTCTACCCAAAAAGAAATAATCAGACGTTGCAGAGGCTAATTCAAACAAGCTGCGTACCATTACATGCAGTATGGAACGCTGCCTCTGAATGATTTCTAATCTGCACACTTTTGTGGGCAAAGGTATATTTTGTAGAGAACGTATGGCAGTTTTCGACAAAAGACAAGAAGAGTCACAAAAATTCAAGGGCGTGATTCCTCCTCTCCTTCCTACCCTCTCCTTAGAAAACCTTTCGAGGACCACTGCTGCTAACGTAATCTGTGGGATGGGACTGTATGAATGGCAGTGTGTCCGATGTGGGAGTCAATAACCTAGCCGCAGCCTATCGTTATACCCTCCATAAAGATGTCTTTTGTTTAAGATATAATAGAATATTGCGACGAGAAAAGTAATCTAAAATTGGATTATATTTTATGACGCTTTTTTAGTACCGTTGAAATGCGAAGCCTGTTCTCTGCGTATGATGCAACTTAGTAGATATTCCGTCACTGCAACCCTTTCTGATTTCCTACTGTTTCCTTGAGCGAACAATGAAATCTTAAATTATTTTCAAGTGATTAATTTTTTTCCGAATCGTTGCAATAATTTGAGGCTTGACATTTTTCCTCTTCTTCGCTTGACTTCCTTCTCCATTTTTTGTATTAGTTTTGGCACAATCAGCACTCAGTTTTTAGATAGACAAAGCTATAGTTCTGCAGAGCAAATTTTTACTTTTGAACAACGATTTGTTTTCGCAAAAAATCCTGGTTTGATAATACAATTTGAGTGGGAATGATTTCGCTCAAAAATGAATATGTCATTACGTCAGACTTTTTGCAGTTTGTTATTTTCCTGTCAATCACGTGTGTTCTCAGTGAACTATCAAATATCAGTTATACCTCAAGCGACTCTGCCGATTGGTGTTTCGGCAACTTGCCAGATGTTTACAAGTCCAACGTGCACAGGCTCCAAATTGCACAACTTGTGGAAGATGATGCAAACAGCCAAGCTCGCTTATACAAATTCAATCTGTAAAGAATTGTAGCCGCATCAATGTCAAAGCACACGGGACTAAAACCTGGTATGGCCTAATATGACCGATGCCGTACGCTGTAGTACCCCCCCCATCACCCAGCGACTCCGCATAATATTAGGTTAGCTCTCGAAAAAAGCTTGTTCAGGTTTGATGTCTTTCCCCACGCGGTAATAAGTGCAGCTGTCATCAAAATCGCTCAGGTTACTCGATTTTTTCTACCCTTTTTTCCTTTTTAGTCTGATCTGTCTACGTACAAAGCCCGTGTAGTCCAATCATAGGGTTGGACCATTACGCGGCGTAAGCGGCCTACGCACACGTGCGGAGAGATATGGGGCTTACGCTGCATAGGCGCACCTAGGCGCTTATGTATACTTAAGCGTGAGCGCTACAGTATTCTGCAGCATGCTGAGACCAGTGTACGCACAGCATGACCGTTTTTATCACTCTGTTTCGTCATTTTTTTGCTTTGTCGCGCTTTTTCTGTACGAATTAATCAGTGAATTCAGTGGTGCAGAAGTCGTCATTCAACGGAGTGAAAATTTTGGAAGCCTTGATGTGATTGTTTGATTGCTGAGACGTGAAATGCGTTGCGCTCAATGCGCAGGCTCATAGACGCCACCAACATCTCGACATGGTTAGGGCATGTCGGGGGTGGCATCTTTCTTTATAAAAGAACATCTATACCACGTTTCCTCTGAACTCCAGCCAGATGTCACCACCACTCAATCCGACGACGAGAACACAATCTCGCGATTCGCGAGATTGTCTGCAGCATCTAGCACCATCCTTTATACAGAGTGTCCCCCAAAAAAATGTGCCTGCTGTTTGATTGGTAATAACTCATTTTTTATGAAGTCTCTCGAGTACCTTAGGGTACCATCTTGTAGAGCTGGCTTCACTTAGATTTGCAGCATGGAGCGAATCATCCATTGTCATTACTGTAGGATTACGGTAGGAACTTTGAAGAGGGTTGAGCCATGAAAGGCCATATTTTTCCTCAGAAAGCAAACAAAACAAACTGAAAACTTTCACACTGGACTAATCAGAGTTGCTGATTCTAAGCGTGAAGTTCGCAACTTACCATAATGCTTCATTAAAAAGTTATACGAGGTAAGCTAAAGCTGCCGTTTTTCCAAGTTCCCAAACATTGCGGTTACATTGCTCTTTTTCACAGTGACACCATATGCTTGAAGTTCCTACCGTAATTCTACAGTAATGAAGAGCGTTCGGTGACTCGCTCTATACCGTAAATTTAAGACAAAGACTCTAAGGGATGGTACCTAAAACTTACCGAAGGCTTTATCACAAGAGAGTTATTAACAATCAAACAGTGGGCACATTTTTTTGGGACACCCTGTATTTTTGGATAGGGCGGGAGATTACAGAATAAAACTGTTCACCGCGTCTACAGCCGCGCTAGCCGCCACTATTTCAGTATCTGGTCCCCAATCGAAAAAGCAAGATCCCCATGGATCTTGCTCAAATTTGGTTTATTGGGTTTATTCGGCATTTTGATTATAAACAGCTAATCTTTTAAAATTGTGGAAAAGCCTCGGAACAGTGGGATAGTGCGCAAAAGCGGCTACATGCGGCTAACGGCGGCTGCCGAGGAGGACGAAAGCGCCCTAAACTGCTCTATGGCCATTTTCGCTTTTTTGACCAGGATTTTTTCGTGAAAGAGTGTTGAGAGCCCAAATGTGGGGTCGGAGTTTTGCCGACCTCACTCGAGGTGGAGGTGAGGGCGAGACCTGTTGGGGGATGCCATCGGTAAGGGTTTTTATGCAGGGTGACCCATAAATGTAACACTGTTTGATTGTTAATAATCTGTTGCCTCAAAGTTTTTTCCAATCTTCAAGTACACTCTATAAAGTGCGGTTCATAATTATACGAACACCCCAAGTTTTGGGACTTTCTGGACTTTTTGGAAGAAACTCAAAAAGTCGCTGGTACCACGCGAAAGAGCACAGCCGAAAATAGTATATGATCCATAAGAATGAAAATCGATATGAATCTTAGGAGCGTTTTTGCGCATAATACGAATTTTTTAGCGGTTCATAGTTATACGAACACCTCAAACAAGGGTCCATTTTTCGTTCAAGACCGCAATTTTCCGGTCCAAATTTTTTATGGAGTTACAGTAACGAAGTCTGAAATATCTGCTACACATTGAAACCACCGCAGTTCAAAAAGAAGAGCGTTACTTTTTCCAGATGGCTTTAAATGCTTTTGGAGTCATTGCGCTCCAAAAACCTCTGTTTTTCTGTGGTTTAAGCGCTCTAATTAGCGTCGACCAAGGTTATGAGATGAAATGAACCTTTTTAATAGATATTTTGTTTAACGCTTGGAAAATCTTTGCGTTTTCGTGCCGTTTTTCGACCAAGTTTCATCTTTAAAGTAGAGTTAACGCAATTTCGAGCCTGAAAACTCAGCTTCTAAAGCCCTAGAGTAAAGTGAGCACATAATATGTAGAAGTTCACAAGACTGGTAGTTGGCCAGAAAAAAACCGGCAATGTTGAGTATTTGTTTTGGCCACGCAGGTGTCATTTCACCAAAACCACT